TCCGTGTGAGATAGGCACCGTAGTTTTCATTCTATGTCCACGGCCAAACATTTCTCCTTCTGCTGCAGGAGCAGGAGGCCGCCCCGTCTGTGGCTTCCAAAGCAGCTGGTGACACTCACGAATCGAAGCTCAGCGAGGAAAATCAAGTTAGCGTGGCGTTGCCCGTCAAAATGGCCGTGCAGGCGGAAGATCTCTGCAGAAGCAGTTGCCGTCGCGCTTTGCCGCGGGGTACTCATGCTCGACGGTGAAACACTAGGCTGAGAAGGAGAACGGGCGCGAACGTCATTATTTTCCCCTGGGGCTTCCGCACTGGCCCCTTCTCTGCGCTTGGTATGAGTGCACTGAAATGTGAAGAGTGTGTTCGTGTGCAGGCGCAGCCAGGACGCGGACAGTTGAAGGCGGCGATGACAGGGATTGATTTAGTTTCCCATAGCTATAGCGTCGTTGTCGTTCGTGCCCGAAGGAGCCTACCGTGCAGCAGGTCTATTGGCACACGTCATATATCATGAAGATCTCTCAAATAGTTGCGATTTGCAGAACGGGCAGTGCGAATGGCAGTCGTGTGCCCTGGAAATTGAAGCGACAAGTGGTTACGCTTTTAATGCTTCTTGAGCGACCGAGCTCATACAAGATTTCCGCAAATAACGAATGAGTGCCGCGTTCCGACTTGCTGTCTCAGCCCCCCCCCCCTACCCTGCACAACGGAAGAGCATGTCAGCAGTCGGGTGGAAAAGTCGACACAGAACATTTCACGAAGCACACATAGCTCCTTGAAGCAGTGAGAAAGAACAGACTATAGGAAATAGTCTAATTCAATCTTCACTAGGTCTAGAATAAATGCAATGTGTTGCGTTATGAAATGTAGTTCAGCTCACTTGTGAAGCAGCTTCCGTTGAGGGCCCATGGTTCACCAGCGAATTGGGTAAAACAGGGATATCAGCAGTTATTTGCAAACGATATTCCTAGTTTGCTCAACTCACTGAAAAAAAAAATTATAGACACATCCACTATGTACACGACCCATTAATTTTGAAAGTTTGCAAACGAATCAAAAAGTGAACAGAATAAAACACATTTGGTTATGCATGTTGTGTTGCAAATCATCGCACGAATGAAACTGTTCGCTGGCTGAACAAGATTTATGTTAAACATAAGAGCGATCCCGTAAAAGCGCATCTTAGTTTTTTAATGCTTAGGTAATACAATAAAGAAGACCTAAGTATCAATCATAAGCTACGACGAAGGGGCTTTTATGCTTTCTATAAACAACAATAAGCTTGATAAAAAACCCGTGGCATGAAAACCCAAAGTGCTATACACACAGGCAATAGTAAATTGAAGTGGTTAAGTAAGGAACGAAGCCAAGCCGGTAACCATAAGTATGTAATGTGTAGATCTACCCGAAATCTAATACTCTTTCGGGGTTTGCTAGGCCACAACATGCGGGAAAAAAGTAAAAAAAAGCTGTCCAAATCTCCAATTTTCGTGGCACGGTCACCACATTTATTTCGTGTGCTTACTGCAATAGGTCAGCTTTTCGCAACGGAAACAAGGAAAACAAGCAAAATAAGTGAATAAATATGCTCAATGTGTCCGATTATCTAATCACATAATGGTATACTTAAGTCTCTAATGCTTCAACAACGATCCAACGTTCAGAAAAATAAGATTGAAATTTCGGGATATCTGATCAGTTATGTAATACTATAACCATAGCTATTTTATGCAAAATTGAGAAAAAAATCTATTTTTTGCTACTGACCGTAAAGTCGAGACAATTCCAACAATTTTTCGCCCTCTGTACATGCCATCTAACCACTTCAAACCTGCATCACCACCAATAGACGACAGAACGCATTCAGAAGTAAATGTTAAGCTTGACACTTATTAATATAAAGCAGAACTTGGCTCATGCTGATCTGACACTTCAGATTTGTTTGGGCCACAAAATAAAAATAAAAAAGATGGTTGAAGCAAGATGAAGGATTTTAGAAATCATTTAGACAACATAAACCACCGAAGTATCCTCTCATCGGTATACCATCCTTTGCAGGTTGAAAATGGTCGCTAATTTTCGAAACATTTGCTCAGAAGTGGACATTATGCGCTCACTTCTACTCAAGCTGGTTGAGTATTTGGCTCGTTCTTGATTCGGGAAGAAACACACACACAAACACACACACAAAAACAACGGCAGTGGTCGTTCAACAGCACAGTTATCTCGTTTAACTATCTTATATGCCATCTATTGTAATGGCAGTATAAGTTACTTGTTTTGCTCTTTTCCATGAAACCTTACATGCTTCGTCACTCGGGGCCGACTCGTCAATAACGGTTTCATTCGTTCCCGGATAAATGTTCCGAAAGTCATTTTGCTTAGCAGATAAAAAGCAGCTTAAGCGCTGTTTTCTTGTGTAAACTTCGCCTCATCGGATATTCTGACTCCTCTGATTCACTCAGAGGGTGCTCACATTCTGTTCGAACTGAATTTGCTGTAGGATTACTGTGTGTGAATCCGTAAAATGCACTAAATCGTACGCAAAGCCCACGCGGCCGTGCATGAACACTCCAACAGCGCGCCTTCCGCAGCACCGGCGAAAAACCGTGACACGGCCGCTACCACGTTCGAGTGGTATAGGCCTCACTCATATGTACGGCACGTTTATACGATGAATGACGGCTGGTCATCACAAAATGCTTGTTTCTGTGCAGTTTTCGTCGTCATTATTTTCCACACGCAGAGAAATTGGTGTTCGCTATCCACGCAGTTCCTGTTGCTCGCGATGCATGGGCACGCTGTACGCCGTTTCTGTGTATCTCTACCTCGTTCTGCGCTAACATTTGCATTATGCTTTGGACAGCTGTGGCCGCATGGCACAGCAGAGCATACAAACTGTTATTCCTTACAGCAACCTTTATTTTTTGCGAAAAACATTCTTTGCTTTGCCAGTGGCTGGAGTTGGCCGTGCGAGCTCGCCACCGGCTTGACACCTGCAGCGAGGCCTTCTTACTGCTTAGAAGTTGCAGCCAGTGAAATACCGTTTTAGAGAAGCCACCGTCGTCTGCGGTCGGGCGGGCGCGTCGCCGGCGCAGCTCTCACACTGGTAGCCGGCCAGCTTCCAAGCTCCCGAGGTCGAGCGAAGCCTACTTCAGGTCACTTCGAAGGTTTAGGCGGTGAAACTCTGGAAGCAGCCGCTGACGATCGAAAAAGTGGCGGGTGGAGTGTACGCGTCGCTGGCGCAGCTCTCAGAGCGGCCGCCGGCCAGCTTGGAAGCTCTCGCAATCGAGCGAAGCTTACTTCAGATCGCTTCGGACCATGAGACCCCAGAAGAAGATGCTGACGATCGCAACAGCGGAAGTCGGGGCGTGCGCGTCGCCGGCGCAGCTTTCACAACAGCCACCGGTCAGCTTGGAAGCTCCTGAGGTCGAGAGAAGCCTACACTTGAGATCACTTCGAAGTTTTAGACGGTGAAACGCTAGAAGCAGTCTCTGAAGATCGAAAAAACGGCGGTGGAAGTGTGCGCGTCACCAGTGCAGCCCTCACACCGGCCGCCGGCCAGCTTGCAAGTTCCTGTGGTCGAGGGAAGCGTCCTTTAGATTGCTTCGAAGGTGTAGGCAGTGGAACTCCAGAAGCAGCTACGCTGACGATGGCAAAAGCTTACTTTTGTTACTATTAAAATTATTCCTCGCAATTCTTCGTAACTCGGCACTTTGAAGCGAGTTATTCGTGGCGTTTGGTTCAAAAATCCGGCCGTTGTCCAGCGCGGTCCAACGGTACGAAATACCTTGAAACGTTCACACTAAACACCACCCGGCCGTTGGAAATCTTCACTGCCCTCACAATTTCATTGTCTGTCGACAGTTGCTCACACGCTCAACCACACAAGCCAGTGTAGTTTCACACCAGCGTGCTAAAAGATGCTCGTATACACACACACACACACACACACACACACACACACACACACACACACACACACACACACACACACACACACACACACACACACACACACACACACACACACACACGCACGCACGCACGCACGCACGTCACAATGAAAAGTTTTTTTTTAACTCCCATAGGGAGTTTCTAACCACGTGAACTGAAAGTCTGTGGGGAGTTTCACAAGGTGATGTCGTTCATAAACTCCGTCATTAAGCAAGAGGCGTTCTAGGACGACTTGTGCCGAGTTCACTGCGCAACACGGAGTAAATAATTTGGGCCAGAGAGTTTTCGGGGCTCATATGCGGGAAAAACTCTCATCTGGGCTTATTTGTGTTTACAGTGAATGTGGCAATATAATCTGCCTATCACCTGTGGCCCATAGTCGCCCGTGCGTATGTGCTACACGCCTGGCGGAAAGCATTCGACGACCTACGCGACGGAATTGTGGCATTATCCATGGCTTGACCAGCCAGTCATATTCCACAAACCATCCTATCCTCCTATGCAAATATTCGCTTACCCCAAGTTAAGGGGGCGATCACGAGAGCACCTAGATGTAAGTGGATAAATAGACAGATACGTATAATAGACGCTCAAAGTACCTGCAGTAAGCAAACAAACGCTTCGCATTTAAAAATTTATTTAAATATATTTTGAGCATGTTAGATAACAGATTTCTTGCTTAGTATGGTGCATTCGTACAAAAAAAATTACGTGCGCAGGAGCCACCTAGGAGAATATTCTAATATTGATAATCATTACCAGCTGTTCAGTTTTATTGACGTTATCTGTTCTAGTAGAAACGGAGATAATAAAAATCACCTATATTCTCACAATTATTGGCCTATCACACAGGGTGGGTTCGCAGTTTTCTTGTGTTTGGCAACGCAGTTGGTGAAACACCATTTTAAGCAACGTTTGAAGCAACAGGCTGTTGTTTCAAAACTGTATTCATAAGTTTTCGAGTGCAGCTATTCTCATAAGAATGCTTCATGCCCTATTCATGGCACATATGATGGCCTAAGCTTACTCATTTCCCGTTTCTTTGCAGCTAAGCTCAGATCCTCCGATGATGGATCAAAATGGAACATAATTTTGCAGTGGACAGCGCTATCCGGGCGGAGAGCTGAAAAGAAACGGACGGAGACACGCGCTTACCAACTCGCACAGCTCACCGTTCCTATGAAAAGTGGTCGCTTGAGAATCTTCGTTAAAAATCACAAGCACATTCGGTTCATCCTGGTATATTAAAACGATGAAAGCATCACATTTTAATTGGTGTTACGTGTGCGAATGGAGGTTTGGAGACGTGAGAAAGTCTTCGTTGTAGTCTCAGAAGTGGGCATCTTGTGAGGTAATTAAACCGTAATAAAGTTTTCGCGACATCACGTTACTAAAAATCGTTCAGAGAGTATCATAATAAAATGATACAAAAAGGAAAGTCGGTATTTCGATGTCAGAAATCACAATGACCAATTTCAATGTCTTCTGGGAGTACAGCGTTTTTTGTGCATTTTAGGCACCGGTGTATATTAAGCTTGTTGAGTGCGTATAAACGTTGTGTAAGCTAGTTTCGCAAGGATGCATCGTAAAAGCAGTGTGCACTATAGGGACATTCTTGACCCCTGCCGAATAATAGTACTCAAGCCATTTGAAACTGCCAGTGGTTATTCGGTCATCTTCGATTGTCGGGCCACTCAATTTTGCGCGTTATGTTTTCTTTGCTAGTATCTGTTGCGCCACCATCCCTTTATTAAGCTATGCACCAACTTACCCAACGTCACACTCTGCTCATGTCTATTTGTCTGCGTGTGAGTATGTGTGTGTGGGTGTAAGTGAGTGGGTGTGTTTGTTTTTTGTTTGTGTGTGTGTGTGTGCTTTCGTGGTATGAATGTTTCGGAAACAAGGAATAATAATAATAATAATAATAATAATAATAATAATAATAATAATAATAATAATAATAATAATAATAATAATAATAATAATAATAATAATAATAATAACAATAATAATAATAATAATAATAATAATAATAATATTAAAATTATTATTATTATTATTATTATTATTATTATTATTATTATTATTATTATTATTATTATTATATTATTATTATTATTATTATTATTATTATTATTATTATTATTATTATTATTTTTATTATTATTATTATTATAAAGTTCAAGCACGCGTCTTAGATTCGCAAAAACTTATTTTGTGATGTACACAATTGCATCACTACTGGGACGCAGTGGATTTCAATTTTCTACTCTGCTTGTGTTACCCTGGGGTATTGACGAATGAGAGTCAGATGGAATGCTGCTAGAAAGCGCGAATTTATCTGCGTAAAGACGAATGAATGATTTCATGGGTACGGAATCCGCATAATGAATCATAAACGTGATATATTTGAGCGAGAAAACCAAACGAACCGGAACTCGTGAAGAGGCCTCGATAAGTTTGTCATAAAACATTTAAAGTGTCAAAAATTGACTGGCGCTTTAAGTTCTTTCATTGGAGGAACGAAAAGTTTGGGCATATAGAAACATTAGGCTTCTGTCACATACAGTATCTAAAATGTAATGAAGTGAACTGCACTTCTAATAATAACATCTGTGTTTAACGTCCTAAAGCCACGACATGTTTATGACAGACGCCACAGTGAAGGGCTCCGAACATTTCAGCCATCTGCTCTTCTTTAACGTGCACTGGCATGGCACAGCACACGGACCTCTATTATTTCGCCTACATCGAAATGTGACCTTGCGGCCGGGATTGAATTCGCGACCTTCCCTTCAGGTCCCCAGCCGAGCCCATTAGCCGCTCATCTACCGAGGCGGACGAACTGCTTTTTTGTTGCATGGACTACAATGCGATCACACGTGGAAGAAAAATGGGAATCTTTGAGTTTCGCCTTTAGGAGTTGAACGTGATGCGTACTTTAGGCCCTTAGTGCATACTTTTTATTTTATGATGTAACTGGAGAAGTTGAAATTGTGGTTTATTACTATGCAATCGATGAAGATGAAAGTGGCTTGCGTAAGTGAATCTTCCGCATATGGCTGTTTTGTGTCTATTAGGTAGCATGCTTTATACCATGGCCAATTAGATGCATGAATTGTTTTCGAAAATACTATGCACCCACTACATGGTCCTAATGGAATTGGCGCAGTAAAGTGTGTGTCTTTTGCAATGAGTGGCCGGCTTTAAACCACAAAGTCGTTAATATAATCTCATGATCTGGTGCCTGATGGTCATGTATGCCTGTATAGACGAATTCACACTTGTCAAGGGCGGCGGAGCACGTGGCTGTGGACGCTGTTTTCGTCCACAGGTGCTACCTCACGTTCATGCTTAAATCATAGCGCAAATGCCTAGTACGCAGTATGACTAGGCTGGGTATCAATACTTCGTAGATATTTGCATAGTACGGCAGAAAAGTGCAGCTTAAACGACCGGCTAGGCACTCTAGACAAGCTAGGATCTGTCTGCACCACACAATATTATTGCGACAATACGTGTAGTATTGGCAAGTGTTTGTAATGCATGAAAGGTGATTTCCCTGCAAGTCCAAGCAGAGGAAGTTATTTTCACTGCATTTCCAAACAGACGCGTGGTTGTGTGGTAGAACGTCTGCTAGCCACGCAAACGGTGTGGGTTCCATCCAGCTTCAAACCCGGGAATTTCAAATATCATTTTATTTGAACCTTTATCATTTTTTTCTGTCAATAAAAAGATGATGATTTTTCGCTCACAGCCAACGAAGCCGATGCCGATGCCGACGCTAACACCAAGATTTCCGCGAACCGAGGTCATTAACTATAAAACGACAGGCATGAAGCGAACACGTGCGCTATCGGCTCCTGACTGTCTCGGTATCGCAGTTTCAGTATATCAGCGCAGGAATGTAAAAAAAAATAAGGCCCACCAAGATTTAGGCAGCGAAAAGAAAGAAAAAAGTGCTACAGTTGACTCCAGCGGTACTTTGACAATTTCAGCAAATTCATTCGTCAAAACGCATGCTTCTAGAGCATCTCCCTTTTCCTACAACCACACGGATCCCTGCATGACTGAATAAATAAATGGTGCGCACATAAATACAATTGTAGCTGTGTCATCAAATGGTAATTAGTGCATATATTTAGTGCATATCACAAACGGCGAGTTGCCGAATCCAGGCAAAGCGGGTGACACGCCACTGCTCATGCACCCTACAATTGTCTCGCCAGTTTATGTATTGCCACCCGAAGAAGCTTCCCGAGTTCTTCGTTCCGTCTATAGGCAAAATGTTTCTCCTGAAGCTTAGGCTGCCCTACGGCAAGGCCAACTGGAACAACGATGTTGTAGAAAACACGACAGCAAAGAGCTCACTTCTATATAAGTGAACAATATATATACACCTGCTTGATATTTAGAGTTTAACGTCCCAAGATATTCACCTGTTTATACGTGGACCGTGAGTGACAGCGTACAAGTGCAGGAGGACGAGGGAGATGTGCAATGTCTCACACTTCTTTCAAGATAGTCCATTCCGCTCATACTTGCACAACGAAGGACACACAAAAAAGCACTATACCACTGTAATCTGAAACTCATTAACGGAGTGGAGTGCTGCGGGTGGCGTCACCAAGAACACGCGCATTTTTGTAGCACTCCTCTCATGATGCTGCGCTTAGCACATGGCGGCTGGCAATCGATACAACACCAGTGACAGTGAATAGCACTTATGTATAGTGACATTCAACGCATTGACGTCTTCTCAGCGGAAGCAACTCGTCCGAAAATTAATCACCATAGCTCCACCGCCTATCCGGCGGCTGGGATTGGCATGAGGACAGACGTATGGATGTCTACGTTCTCGTCGCTAGCACTCCTACTCTTTTACCCTTGTCTTTCACATTCGGTGCTTAGTGGGTAGTCAGAAACAAATAATGCAACTCATTTGTCTTCGCCTCGTGGCACACGCGCAATAAAAAAAGAGGACGAAAAACATGCTAGAATGAAAGAATAGCTAGAATGAAAAACTAGAATGGCTAGAATTAACAGGCTAAAATGAAAGAGATGAAGAAACAAAGAAAGGGACGTTTTGATAACAAAAAATAATATATTTATAAAACCAGATTCAAACCTCCATACCATCGATGCGAAGGCGATGTATCGTAATAAATCGGCTACTCCGACACTCATTTTTTTTTCTTTCGTGAATAATAACCATACCAGCCCTTTGAAATTATAAAACAAATGTTCAAAGGTAGAAATTTGGTCTTGTAGGTAAGTCATTAGGCAACCTTTAGCACAAAGTAACACAAGAACGATAAGGGAGGGCTCACCACAAAACCTTCAACAAAATTAGTTAGCACACGTTTTGCGTCCTTCCTTTTCGTCATTGAGTGATTTTTCGCTAAATATTTCCTGTCACGAGTGTCATGACGTAGCTATGTAGCTATGAATTAACTCGGTCGTAGCTTCGATTCCTGTTCACGGGTAGCTATTTTTTCACCCACTTTTCTTTCTCCTTATTTACAATACATTGGTTCTAATAACTTCCCCTATACATTCCTTGGCCTTATTGTCTGCTAAATCTCATATATATATATATATATATATATATATATATATATATATATATATATATATATATATATATATACATGACGAAGGACATAATGGCAAGCACAGCATTGACACTAATGAAACTGTTCAACAAATGAGCCGAGAATTGCAATTATATTGATGACTGGCAAATAACAGTCTGTCGGCCAGATTTACGGGTGTTCAACACTTTAAAATTTACATGACTTTAAATGAAAAACTGGGAATTCGCAACGTGTGCAACTTGCGTTCAAAAAATGCTTACTGACAAACTGAAACAGCAAAAAAGTGTTTGAAAGCTCACCATAACTAGGTAAAAAAGTAAACTAGGGTTGTATCCAGCTAAACCCACAACACCACAGACCCTTTTACTAGCGAAGATTTACTTTTTAAGGGACCCGAGAACACCCCCTTATTTTTTAAAAATTACTCTCATATATATATATATAAATATAAAACATATATATATCTGAATATATATATATATTATATATTATATATAATATATATATATATATATTATATAATATATATATATATATATATATATATATAATATATATATTATATATATATGTAAGGGAAAGAAGTGTATACCTAAGGGCTCGTTTTTCCGTGTTTTAACACATAATAATGAGATCTAACAGACAGTAATGCCAAGGAATGTACAGGAGAAGTTATTATAACCATGGAATGTAAATAAGAAGAAAGAAAAGTGGTTGAAAAAATAACCAGCCGTGAGCAG